ATGCATTCATGGTTACATACATGCACATTTGAATTGTCTGTCTACTTTGCATTTCTCAAGTTTATTTAATTAAAAAAAATCTTTCAAGCTGACATCGAGTTTAAACAGAGAGAAAGGAAGGAAAAGAAAAAAGAAAGAAAAAAAAATGAGAGTGAGTGAGAGAGAGTGAGAGACAAAAAAAATATAGACCGAGAAAAAAGAAATGGTAGGAAAATTCAAAAAATCAGAAAAATGAAAGAAACAAGAGAGAGAGAGAGAGAGAGCAAGAAAAAACTAAAACAAGAAAAAAGAAAGAAAGAGAGAATAAAAGAAAGACATTATTTAAATATTCACCATATTTAAATTCCTACAACATCATTAATTAGATCACGACCTCCTGTAGCAGGGCAGGGCAGAGCAGTGAAGGGCAGGGCAGGGTCGCTTTGCTCATTTTTCGGTTTTTAATCATCAACGTGTGTTTTTATTTATCTCTGATTAGGTTTTTATTTGAAAGAAAAAGAGAAAGACTGAATGAATGACCAAAAAAATTTTTTTATTTTTGAATAGAGAAATATATCATATCGCACGATTTTAGATGAATTTCTAATCGATCTTTATCGCTGAAGCTTATAAAAACTAACGAAGTTTTTTCCGAATTAATTTTTGCGTCATAAATATGACTATAATTGATTATATTTATGAATAATTATTATTAACGTTATTAATTATTATTGTTTTTATTACGATTGAATCGTAGTGAAAACATGTACACAACATAGATGCCGCGGGTTGAATTAAATTTTTATTTGAAGGAAAAAAAAACCAAAACATCGTCATCATCATCACCATCATCATCACCATCATCATCACCATCATTATCGCCACAACCATCGTCATCATCATCACCATCAAAATCATCATATTATCGTTGTAATATTGGTTTTGAATTCAAGTTTAATATACACAATTATATATATATATATATATAATTTATATATATATATATATATATATAAAATTTATATATCATATCATAACACTATAAGATATAATTACAACAGCAAATGAATTTAATTGAATATTTCAGAATAAAATAAAATAATGAAATCAGTGCTGATCATTCATTCACTGAGTTCACAACATTTG